GGGGGGGGGGCGGCCCAGGATGGCATGTGGTACTGGGGATCAGAGTGAGATTTTCTAAGTGTAAGTTCTGGGCCAGGGGTATAGCTCAGCTGCACAGCGCCTACCTGGCAAACTGAGTTCAATTTCTGGTACTAAAACCCTCTGCGTCCCACTGAGTGTAACTTCTAATGCTGTGCTAATCAGGACAAATCAAAGGAAAGACAGTAGAGGAACTCTGAAGGCAGCTTTGCTACACTAGTGAGCTGGGAAACCTAGAGGTTCAAATCATTTGCCCCACGCCTGCAAGCAGGTGCAGGGGCTGGGGGTTCGATCCCCAGGCCTGCCATGCAGGCTCAGACCTTGGGGTACACTGAGATGGCAGTTGAGACTGCGCGGGGTGGCACACTCCTGTAATCCCAGCTCTTGGGAGCCTGTAAACAGGCGGGTCACTATGAGTCTGATCTAGTAGTGAGATCCTGAAAACCCTGTAGAACCTTCCCTAAAATTAAAAAAAAAAAAAAAAAAATCATCTGCCCCATTTTGATATCACCAATGTCTTATATAGGTTTTTAGGAGAAAGTACAAGAAGGCAGACAGCATACCATCCTATAGTTGGTCACACCAGTCTTTGTCACTAATTGCTAGGCAGAATTTAGTCTTTCTTTCGCATCCCCTGGGGGAAGAATGAGGCTCCTGTCAGTGAGGTCTCTGCTCATTCCCTAGAGCCAAGCAGGGCCTGGCGGCGACAGAGTGAGGGTTTCTCTGTCCCAGCGGCAGGGAGAGACAGGCCTTGCCACCTCGGGCTGGAGGCAGCGCTGGAGCTGCTGGCACAGGGCTGCACTCCACGAGGGCCACAGCTGAGCGAGAGGTTAGAAGCGACAGGGTGAGGCCAGCGCAGCCCGGTCTGTGGCGTGGGCACAGGGCCTGGGCTGCAGAGGGAGCTGCTCAGAGTGCGCCGCTGGCCTGCTTCTCCCCCTTTTCGTTGGTGTACGTTTGCAGTGCGTGCTAAGTACATCCTACACAGGAATTAGGCATGTGTACGTGTTGCAGCTGGGCCCTTTTGAGTTCTGCTTGCCCACATCTCTCCTGACCTGTCCCTTTCCCATCTCCTGTAGCTTCTCTACTTCTTTTTTTTTTTTTTATTTTTTTTTTTCTTATTTTTATTTATTTTGAGAGAGAGAGAGAGAGAGAGAGAGAGAGAGAGGTGTGTGTGTGTGTGTGTGTGTGTGTGTGTGTGTGTGTGTGTGGCCAGCTCAGCCCACCAGGGGGCGGGGCTGGCTGGCATGTGGTGCTGGGGGATTGAACCGCGGTCCCTGATGCCTTGCCAAGCTTGTTCCAAGTAGGTGCTTTAGACCACTGAGCCATCTCTCCAGCCCCTCTACTTCTTTATATTTATTTAATGTAAACCAGTAAGTCTAAGGCATGGAAGCATTCCTGATTTATATATATAGCCTAGCCTCCTATCTATGCTTTGAATTTCCTCCGCAATAATGCCAGTTCTGAACATTATGACTATCATGTGTATTTATATTTTTATTACTGTTTTATTACTCTTAATGGGTGGTAACTATTTGCCAGGACTCTGTACACTTCTTTGGGTGTTTTCAACACAAAAGGAGAGCTTAGCGCACCTCTCTGGCGGATCCCGAGCGGTGACCACCGGCGTCTGCCTCCCATCTTCAGGCGGCTCCCAGCCCTGGGTGGAGCAGGATGAGCAGGGCCTGCCTGGTGCCCGGCACACGGGACCCTCGGGGACGGTGGTTGGGGTTCTGCTGCCAGCAGTGAGCTCTCCCCGCTTGTGGCTCTGTCCGCAGGTGGTGTGGTGACCGGGCCACAGTCATGCCAGCTTGTCGCCTCCCCTGTGGTCCTCGCTGGTCTCCAGCATCCTGGCTCTGGGCTGCTTGAAGGGGAGCTTTCTCCTGCTTGGCGTGGTGTTGCCGCCTCAGCTGCCAGGCGCTAGGGGTGTTCTAAACCAGGGCTGTGCGTGACACATCACAAAGCGCACTTCAGTAGAGCACACACTGCCACGAAGCATCCCTGGGATCCTCTTCCTACTGCCAAGCGCTCATATCGCATCATTTTTGTGCCTTTCTAAAGCCAGCCCTCAGGGCCTCTTTCCCAGCGTCTTTCGCTGCGCTGTCTCAGGTGCCTCAGTGTCCTGAATCAATTCAAAAGGCTTTTTTTCATGGTCATTTTGACTTTGGAGAAGAGCTAGATTTTTCAGGGAAGCAGATGCCCAAGAAAGGGGAGGGCGACACACAGCGCTTCTGCGAGCTGCCTTCCCGCGGGACTGGGCTCTGCAGCAGCATAAAGACACTGAGGAAACGGGACTTCCGGAGCTGCTTCGGCAAGTGCTGAGGACCCCGAGGTGCGTGAGCTTCAGCGAGGGTGAGCGTGGGCAGGGGACTCGTGGCTATGTGTCTTTTTTTTTTTTTTTTGTGGAACCAGGGATAGAACTCAGGCCCTTGTGCTTGCCAGGGAAGCGCTTATTCTACTGAGCCATCTCCCTGGCCCCTGTGTGTCTTATTTAATGTAATAAACTGATTTTGATTGTACCTGGCCTGTGGTTAGCTAGTGCTCAGGGAGATAAAGCCCAGCGGTGACTCCAGTGTGTGGCTGGTTCCCTTTCCCACCAGCGTGGAGCCAGGACTGCCCAGGGCAAGCAGCTTCCGGAACTAGACCTCTGCAGGCCCCACCTGCGGACAGGCAGCAGAGGGCTGCTGCTTCTCCACCTTCCCTTCACAATGGAAAGGTGTCACTTGCTCTCCACCAACACCGTTATCGTGTTCCAGGGTACATGCTAGCTGTGACCACTGTGTCCTGTGGTTTCCTTTCCTCCAATTTAAGCTTTTATGTTTCGCAATAGGAATGTGTCTAGTGCAGTTTTTATTATGGGGAAGTAAATATGGAGCAGACAACTCACCTTAAGGGGCTCTCATCCTGAGGAGGAGGCGAGATGTTCATGGAAACACCCAGAAGCATGGGGTGTGGTGGTGCACTCCTGTAATCCCAGCTCTTGGAGGCTGAGGCAGGAGGATCTCTGCTTCAAGGCCAACCTGGGTTGCACAGTGAGCTCAAGGCCAGCCTGAGCTACACATTGAGACCCTGCTTCAAGAAAACAGACACAGGGCTGGTGAGATAGCTCAGCAGACAAAGTACCTGCTTTGGCAAGCGCAGGAACCAGGGTTCAATCCCAGGTCCTGCATGCTGTGCCGGCCCTGCCCCTGGGGTGTGCTGAGCTGGCAGAGTCTGAGCGTAGGTGTGCACTGTAATCCCAGTGCTGGGGCGGCTGAAAACAGTAGGATCACCATGAGTCCAATCTGCTTGGTGAGACCCTGTACCAAATACACAAATGAAAAAAAAAAAAAAACCTCACCCAAAAGGCTGGAAACCACTTTCTGACTAGCAGAGTGAGGGCTAAGCCGTCTGTGGTGAGCTCACACAACAGAGCATCATCCAGCCACAAAATGGAGCAAACTGTCAACACAGAGATGGGTTGAGCTGAAAACTAATCTGCTGATTGAAGGGATGCCCAGGAGCACACACTGAGTGACCCCATTTCTGTGGGGCTGTGGAGCAGGCAGTACTAATCGATGGTGGATAAGATCAATATATTGCTTGCCTGGGGAGTGGGGTGGAGATTGGCCAGGAAGGAACACAAAGCATCGGTTTGCTGTCTCTCCTCTCCTCTCCTCTCCTCTCCTC